CGCGCGCGTGTCACGGCGGATTATTCCATCGATCTTACCTTGCCGCAGTTGATGTATTCCACGGCGGATTCGCGAAATAGAAAGTACACGTGATCCTCGGTCTCGAAGCTGCCGACGAACTGCGGGTCGTTCAGCCACCTGAAAGGAAAGCGCAAACTTAGAGAGAAACGGGACTCCGCCGCGATAAATATCGACGCGACGCGATAAGCAAGACCGACAATTTTACAACGCATTTTATTACGATAAAATTAATCTCGTTCGTCTGTCGATATAACTGAAAAGAATTTCGTAAGAGTTTCATAGAGATAAAATAAAAGGTAGGGACCAAGAAACATTGACGATACATTTTTCGAGATCAGCTGGAAGCTGCTCGCTGATATACACCTGTCTTCCTGCAAACTCACTTAGAATCGTATTGCTGAGTCCTGAGATTCGGCGAGGCCAGTGTTCTGTAGATCGTGGAATCAGCTCCGGAAAAATCCGTCGACGCGCCGGCGAAGAGCCCACCGGAAGGACCCCTCGAGAGAAGTGCCGTGACATTTGTGTGCGGTGAGTACGGGCACATGGCCACGCCCGACATCTCACTGGTCACGGTTGTTATATTCTCGATCTGTAATGAGAGACTGCACTATGTCTGAACGACAATCGTCTCGTCGTCGTCGTTTCGAATCGAGCGTTACATCCAGCTAATGACAGCGTTAAAAAACTGCTCATTGAAGCTTGTCGGATCGACAAGCCGCGACGATTCGCGATGAGATAAAAGGGAAAAGGCATTTAGGACCCGTAATTATGGAGATTTCATGCGCCCGGGCCCGATCGGACAGAACCTACTTTCGAAGGACGTACCTCTCGCCACGTGCACCACGGGCTGAATGCGTAAGTGCCGCAGGTGAAGAGACTCTTGCCGTTGCTGAGGAGCACCTTGATGTAATTATGACAGTCCTCGACACTCTGGCCCTTATTCTGACAGGTATTGACCTTGTCCTCCGGCGCGGACCAGGAGGCGTGCTCCAGGTCCGTCAGCGACGTCAGAGTCAAGCGGTACAAATTATCCCTGAAAAGACACGCTTTATTTACATTTTCATCGGTGTGCTCGCCATGTGTCATTAAGCATGAGTGTCCCATATGAAATCCGGACTATTAAACCATTAAGGTTTAACCACTGGCGATCTCCGCTCGTTCGTGGCTGTCTCCATTCGTCGCTTCGCGACATCACTTGCCGGTAATATCTTTCAAGCGGAGATATTTTTTTTCTTGCGTTTGTAAACTAAATTAATTCCGCATTTCTGAAAAAAATCAAGACCGCAGCATCTCAAATGGACGGAAAAATTTATGCCATTTTATTGGACTTATAAATGGGCTTCCTGACCTGGAGAATCAGTGTAACCTTAGATGGGTTTCATTAAAGAATTACTGGAACGTCTCATTGAAAGTCGCGTAGCAACCGGTAATAGGGGAATGTCGTTGGCGATATATAACGCGTATCTCAATTTTAAATCGAGGAAGAATCCGTCACGAGCGACAGCGATAGCGACGAATGACGACGATAGCTTTCTTTATACGATACATATCACATTCAATGAGATCGCCGTAAGCCATTTAGATCTAATCTCATTCAATGATGTTCTCTTCGAAAATATCTGCGTGATTGTGTCTCATTACCGATATTCATGAGTTCTTTAATGACACGAGTTATTGAATTGATTACGCCACCCTCATTATCCGTTAATAAACATGTAACATACATGTTCTACATTTCTAAATGAATGTCTACAAGTTATTAGTATTCGACATAGTGTCCCATATTGAGAAAAATTTTCCATATTAAATGCGTGCGATAATAAATTCCAACCATTGAAATAAAAAAAAATTGATTGTAGAACATATGTAAATATATATATCATTGATGCAATTTACTAAATAACAGAACAAGAGTCTTCGATAAATAAATTAAATTTTTTTTAATGTAGTTTTTAAAATTTCAATATTTACAAAATTACCTTAGTATCAGGAGAGATGCAATAATATATATAGATCTAATTTAATAATACTTCGCGAGACTAGGTCTTTACGAACCTTCTTATAAAAAGATGCAAACGAAGAGAGAAAAAAAAATCTCCTCATGAGTCAGGCTATAAACTGACGCGGGAATTGCAAGATTAATGATTTATGAGCAGACGGCAGCCGTCTGAGGATGTCTCCTACGGAGAGCCGATCGGAAAGTTGATGGTTTCCCGTGAAACAAACGTGCGGCTACCTTCGGAGGAATGCGTCCGCTTGCAAAAGGTGACGTGACGAGGTGCCCGGTGCCTCGTAAGATAAAAAAAACCTCGAGGGCAGCGTCACTCGCCGCTGCGTTTCATTTCCGCGGAGCGTTACGGCGTCTCTCTTCGCGGCCGATCTCGAGGCACTCGCGTAGCAGTCACGAAGGCGTACTCGGGTTTGACAGCGGCTTCGAGGAGCCCTCGAAAACTCCTCGGACGACATTCCACGGCAGCCCCACTTGACTTCAATGCGACGTGTACTCACGCATACGTACGCGAGTGCGTATGGCGTATCGCCACCGAGTACGCGGGAGATCGCTCGGCGCGTTCTCCTCCAATACATAATCGAACATTCCTTTTGTGCACTCACGGATTTTCGATCTAATATAATAATAATAATATTTTACGACATTTTTTTTCACGTAATAAGTAACGTGATATTATTTTAATTTTTACATTTATATTTTACTTTGAGTTTTTAGAATTTTATATTTGGTTTATTTCAGTTGTGTTTTGAAACAACTGTTGAACTTTGTCACAGTGCAATCAGAGCTTCAGAATTGTAATTGGTTCATATGTTGCGAATTTTTATCCATCATTAGCCGGGTGTTGATGAAAGCGGAAGTAAAATTCGCGTTTGCGTACGCGCGAGACCGCCGGAAGATAACGATCAACAGATCGCTTCGAGAAGCTTGATAAATAAATTATCGTCCGCTTATAAATAATAACGCGCGGAGATATGGTTCACGCCTGTCTCTTCTCGATAAGGAGAACGACGATCAAACAGGAAGTATGGACTGTGGTCGAAGCCACCGCAGATAAGACCAGTGGATAACTCGATACTCGCCTATGTCCCTTTTAAGTAGCGACGCAGGCGGCCGCGCGCGCCTTCTTTTTCTTCGCTCCGGTGACGATCGCGATACATGTAAATGGAAGTAGCGTGCGATTCCGCTATTCCGCTATGACGGAAAAGGATAGACTTTGGAAGTAGGAGGAATGTTATCACATG